ATCATGGGGAGGGAACAGGGAGAGTGCGAGGAGGGGAGGAGTCACGTGGGTGGTCACCTGGGGAGGTCACATGCTCCGCCTTTTTGTCCCTCCCCTAGTGCTTTTTATGCTGTGCCTTTTAGATTATACATAGGGGGACTGACTGACCATGTGATTTCAGTCCCAGGAGACCCACCTTTTGGAAGCTCTATACTCCATTCAGGAATGCTACAGTTGGGACTGAGCAGTCACATACTATATTTTGGGGCATATTCACATGTACCTGTGGGAGCTGACGGCTTCTGTGGCTGTACGTAGAATTTGAAACCTGGATCGATCCCATGGTCCGATTCCAGAGATAGCCTTATGGTGAAACACTTGGCTTGACTTAATTATTTCCACACCATATAGACTAATCTGCGTACTTAGATTCCGCTGGTGAGTTCCTAACTAACATTACTTGACTGCAGAATTTCTAATTACAAGTATTACCATTTCTAATCTTCTGCAGCTCCGCCTGCTGTGTCTGCATCCGAGTCATCACATTACAAGGTCCTCTATTGTCTTACTGCATTTTTCTCAGGCCTTCCAATGTTAATAAACCAGAATAATAAAAAACTAGGATAACAGCAAGTCTAATCAGGATGAAAGTACATTTTAGTTTTAGGCTCTCTAATAATGGGGGACAACTGCAAGCTAATACAAGCTTAACAGAAGCAGACTTAACAGAGAAGACTGAGACTTCCTGATCAAGCTACAAAGAACTTGCACTGAAGTGAGAGATGCAAGAAATAAACACCAATGCAATCAGTTGCAGAAAGATTGAGATCGTTTAAGGATTTGGACTAAACACAGCTACTGGAGTTCAGCACAAATAAATACAAAATAAGAGAAGGAGCAAAGAATTTGAAGAGTGAATATCAGGTAAATGGAAAGGTGAGATAGAACAGAAAGCAGAAAACAGATCTCAGAGTTGTGACACAAAATAAACAATCCCTAACACTATCAACCCAAATGTTGAAATGCAGTGAGGAAAGGAAACAGAACACCAGTACAAGTGTATAGAGTAAATTTATGGAGGTGATATTAATATTATACTATTAGGCACTGGTTAGACATCACCTAGTGACTTGTCAGTGTTCTCCTTAGAACAAACAGGTCAAGCCACTTTGCTCCTTTTCACTCAGCAATCTACTTTCATTATTTCTCAGTGTCTGCTCTAAAATAAGCTACACAGTGGCCACTGGCCATCTTTAAATCTACAAAGCTTAAAATCTCAGCAGTGGTGAAGAAAGCAGCAGAAAATTATAGCTCACATGAGAGAAGTACAGGATCAAGAGAAAAGTTTAATTTGTCTGTGCTGGGTAGTGAATTTGGAGAGCAAAAATTATTGTGTGTACAGAGACAGGCATAACAACCTCTCAGTTTACACCCATGAACCTGACTATACACAGCACTGGTCAAAACCCTCTGTGAAAAGAGATATACCAATGAAATCAGTCTTCTGATGGAGAAGAGGAGATTTTGTAGGGATGGGAAAAAACTGGCCAAATTCTCTATCATAACCAAAACCTGGAAATGCCTGTGTCCTCTGATAAAGGCTATGGGGCCAACATTCAGGGAACCATCTGCTCACTTAGTGCCTCATCAATGTAGCAGGGCAACGTGCACAGCAATACTAGTTCCATCTTAAATCCATGCTAGGACTCACATACAAGGTGTACTCACTCTATCAGATCAAGTTGTGGGGCCAAAACTTCCTACCTTAAACATCAAATCAAAACACAATAACACCACTTTCCCGATCCCATCTCAGTTCATAATGAATGTAGTACCCAGTCTGTCGGTTCATACTGGAGTTGCAGCCTCACCCACTGAGTCTCAATTATATATGTAAAGTCAGGGGCCTCATCCTTAATGCAATTATGGATGGTGATGGTTTTGTGAACCATTGAACTTGCAGTCAATAGCATGAACCATACAGCAGCACTCAGACAACTGTAACTCTATCTTATAGTGACACCAATGGGGAGGAAGAGGACCTGGAAAAAAAATCTAATGTGTCTTTAAAATTCAGTTTAAACTAATCTAACACTGCAAATATTATTATGCTTAACTGTAACGTTACAGCATGATGTCACTGTAGGAAGAAGTTAAATTATGGAAATGCACAGTTAAGGCACCCAAATAAACTTAACTTGATTGGAACTTTTAAAAGGTTAACCTGAACTCTGAATTTCCTGGATTTAGAATGCTTGTTTGGGGATAATTACAACATCCTTGTAATTGATAATGTCTTCTGCAGTTTCCACGGTATGCATCCGACGAAGTGAGCTGTAGCTCACGAAAGCTCATGCTCAAATAAATTGGTTAGTCTCTAAGGTGCCACAAGTACTCCTTTTCTTTTTGCGAATACAGACTAACACGGCTGTTACTCTGAAACATCCTTGTGATGATTTTTACCTCAAATTACTCATACATATACTCTACCTTAAATCCATCTTAACATACTGTTTGTCTGGGAATAGTAAGAGAGAGTCAGTTGAAAATGTTCCAAAACTTTTCAAAATTTTAGTGAAAAAATGGCGAAAATTTTTTCCCCTCCCCATCTCCCTCACACTCTAATGCTAATAATCATTATACTCATAATTATTATCTAGTTTTGTCCCTAAGATCCCATCAAAGAGAGAATTAACTCTTCAACATATCCTATTTCTTCCCTGTGATTATGACACTAATAAAAATACAGAATAACATATTCCATCTCACTCAGACAAAGGGAGCACAGAGACTGCAAAAAAACCAAACAAATAAATACACAGTTGTTTAAAACCATTCTTTAGAAATAATTATGACAAATCTCTCCGCAAGTAAGCTTGATTTTTCACCCGGCACCTTGATTGCACATTATGCCGTGTGGAGTTTTGCTTGCTGCTCACCAATTGTAACCTCTGTGCCTCATGAATGCCACTGTTTAACATTCAAACTGCTTTGTCTCTTCCTGATATATGCCTCTTCCTCCCTGCCTTTCCTTTCCCTTTTCCTGTCATCCTTTGTTCTGCCCCTGATAAAGGCCTCTGCATACTGAAACCCAGTGGGACATGACTGGAGGCAATAAGTATGGCAGTAAAGCAGCAGGGTTTCTACGTAGTAAAGTCTTGCAGCATATACTGCTTACCCAGGTGTCACTTAGATGGGCTTTGAGAATTCCTGTCTCCTGCCCTTTCCTCCCTGAAGAGTGAGACACCTGTCTCAAATGCATTTCTTGGAACTTGTACATGGCTTCTTTGGCCTGAATTCTCATTGATACTAAGGCCATTTGCACCACTCTAACAGTAGAAAGGGGCCTTAAAGTATATTTATGCCCACTGTAAGGCTTCTTTACTGCCATAGTGGTATATGGGGCCTTAGTATAAATTACAGTCATGCCCTTTGTCATTTAACTTTGTCAATACCCAATTTAACAAATAATGCTAGAAGCAGCACTACATTATCTTAAAACCTTGATGGTCTGGTTATGTGTGGTTCATAGGAAGTACCAAAATGATAATAAAACAACAATAACAAACTTTACGATATTATGGTGATTTTCTTCCTAGTATTTCAAAGTTTTTCCACAAATATTAATGAATTATGTCTCACAACACCCCATTAGAAGTATACAAGTATTAATTTATTATTATTAATATTTCCATATTGCAGATAAAGAAACTGGACAAGGAACAATCGAGGGCCTGATTCTGTAAGGTAATGAGTACCGTTTGCAAACCACTAAGCAATCTAACTCCCACTGAAGTGGATGAGAGTTGAGGGAACTCAGCAGCTTACATAAACTTCCCACATGATCAGGCTCAAAATGACTTGCCTAAGGTCAAACAAGAAGTCAGTGGCAGGACAGAAACAGGCTATGTACAAAGTTTACTAAAAAAAAAAAAATATATGATACATACAGTAATGTGAAACTGCAATATATAAATTCCTCATTCAATTAAAAGCAAAACTGCACTCAAGATACAGCACTGGATTGCTTGGCTCAACCATTCTGACTTGGAGTACACATAACTCTTTAAAGTTCAGTTAGAGATAAATTATGCCAGTATATTGCTCTCCTGATTAACACAAATGGTCAGAAAAGATAATTAATCATACAAAGCCCTATTCAGGTCTCATCTCATCTCTTGCTCACTGACCATAAACAATTTTTCAGGTAACTTCCATCCCCACACTAAAAAGAGAGCATTAGCTGAACTGAATTCTGTAGTAGTTTTCCTACTGTATATATAATGGTAGTTAAAATAAAACTGATTTCAGACTCTGTGTACTTAGAGAGATCAGCATGTGAATTACAGCCCAATTCCATTCCCACTGAACTCAATAGCAAAACTCCTATTAATAGCAGTGGGAGCACAAACAGGTCCACTATTAGAAAATGAGGGCCAGATCCTCAGCTGGAGTAAATGGTGTAGCTCCACTGACATCAAAGGACCTATGCCGATTTATACTAGCTGAGTACCCTGCCCAGGATTATTTACCTCATATGCTCAAAATTAGCACTGTTGTACTTTAAACCTCTTGTAAAAAAATTTCTGAAATAATTTTTAAAATGCTATTCCTAGTTCCGCCCCGCTGCCTTAAAATGTGTGGCTCAGTTGTCTGCAATGCTTTAAAAATCTCAACATTAGCCTTTAGTATTTTGTGTAGATAATAAAAAAAGGCAAAAATGCAAAAGCACTCCAATCTAACCTCCTTTTTCCCCCTCCCTAAAATCTCCAAAAGCTACACACTTTAATTTCCTGTAGTTAAATCTGAACATCTAATTAAAAATGTGTTAGCACCCATAAGACTGATGCATATTGAGAAAAAAGGAGAGTGGACTGGCTTGTCTGCAATTGGCACTTTTATCATAAGGCATTTAAAAAGCCTGACAGCTAATGCTCTTTACCAAGGAAATGCAAACTACTTACCTCCAAAGGAAATTATAATGGTTAATGAGATTTGGTTTGGTTTGTGCATCATATTACCTGCTTTTCAGAGAGAATGATGCAGCCTTCTATAGAAGCAGATACGACTTTAGGTGGGAGCTGAAAAGGATAGATTTGAACATAAGATTTATCTCAAAGTACGTGTCCTTGTTTATATACTCTGTCATTTTTCATATCCACCTTTAACCATTATACCTCCTTAGCAATAGAAGTCAGGTTCTTAATTATCTGGAATTTTTCATTTTAACGAAGGGAAACAAAGATCTTCATGAACATGCTCACATCTATAACTTATTTACAGTGTGTTCTCAGAGTTACAATAACTCAGGGCGCTAAAGGTGGAAGTCACAACACACTAGCTACAGTATTAATGCTTTGAAAGATTACTAGCCAAACAAGAATTTTTATTAGTCAGCCTTTCGTGTTATATGTGCTCTGCAGGGACTTTGAAAGACCAGAGCTTACTGCATTTTCTGACAATTTTACTAACTAGCCTAGGATATTATTATATTAGATGGTGATTTACTATTTCTATTCAGTCCTGACACTAAAGATGTTTTATGTAAAATTAGGTCTTAAAACAAAGATTCTCTTCCCAAGAGGGGAAAAAATAAAAACAAACAAACAAAACTGTTCTACATTTAGGCTACAGAAGTGAACATCTGCAGGATCTGAACAAGAAAGCTGTTAACTGTCCAGTCCCGTTATGCAAGAACCAATTCATGTTCACATAAATCTCATCTGAAGACAAACTGCATTTGATGACAACCTGTGTAATGTTTATGTAACTAAAAGTTCTCCCATTGAAGATCTTAATGTTACATCAGAATCTCAGTGCCACTTCTTTATGTAAAAAGGAGAGTTATTTACCCATCAGCTGTACTCTCTGGAAGGTCACATCAAGTAATGATCCACATGCCTGGCTCTTGAGGTCTCCAGTGAGTGACAACAGGAGAGCAATTCATAGCTTGATTAGTAAAGATTCTTGCCTCAAGGCAAAACTATTAGGTGCACAGGCCTCAGGAGCACAGTATAAAACCTGCATCTTTTCCCATGTAAGCCTGGTTCTAAGTATTACAATAAACCAAGGGCCTAATGCAGCTCCCATTGAAATCTATGGCAGAACTCCTGCTGACAACCGTGACATTTGTGATCTGGCTCAAACTCTCAAAGGAGATCAGACGGGAAAATAAATCTATTTTCAGTACATTCTATTTAAAAATAAGTAACTCCTTTTAAGTGAGAAATTCCAAGCTGAAATTGATAAAAGTTCTCTCATTCAGAATGATTGTATCTGAGAGTTCTCCTGTAACCACATCCACCCGAGGAGGAAACTAGATCTGTCTCACCCTGTTGTTGTAGCCATGTTGGTCCCAGAATATTAGAGAGAGAAAGTAGGTGAGGCAATATCTTTTATTAGACCAACTTCTGTTGGTGACAGAGAGAAGCTTTCCAGCTTACACAGAGCTCTTCTTCAGGTCTGGGAAATGTACTTGGAGTGCCACAGCTAAATATGCTAAACACTGTTCCCCCTTGTATTTAGCTGTGACACTCCAAGTACATTTCCCAGACCTGAAGAAGAGCTCTGTGTAAGCTGGAAAGCTTGTCTCTCTCTCTCACCAACACAAGTTGGTCCAATAAAAGATATTACTTCACCCACCCTGTCTCTCTAATCACTCTGGAAAAGTCTACTAAAATCATGGAATCTCTGTAATTTATAAATAATTTCTATAAGTGACGGAAGCATGTGACTACTGTCACTGCACTACTTAACCCTTTTCTTAAATAAAATGCTGATGCGTCTAGTTCAGCTGATGGCCACTTGATTCAGGTTCTCTCTTATCAAAGAAAATCGGGTTCAATAGTTTATGAAGTCTTGAAATCACTGAGATGATGCATTTGAGAGTGTCTGGAAAGGTATCCTTCTTCTTTCTGTATTAAGGTTTAAAAAGGAGGGTCTCATTGGACATTGTATAATTTCAAATTTTGAGTGATGGCTAGCTGACACTAGATGTCTGACCCTGCTCTTATTCCCTGGTTGCTGATGTAAAACACTGCTGCCAGATTGCTTGTATAATGTGATCTTGGTTGAATACTGAATTTCTCAAGGTCTAAAAACCCCGCCCTCTCCAGGGTATTTTGGCGTAGGCACCTACAAGACGAAACACAGTGAGTGTAGATGTCTTGCACCTGCCTCTTGCATCTTAAAACAAGATTAGACACACCTCTTGTTATGACAGACTGAGGATGAGAAGTTTGGAAATCTGCTCTAATCAGACTGAAATCAGATTCATACAAACCAGTCAGACTCAAAGGGGTGAACCTAAGATTGTAGACACTTCATAACCCTTTAAGACTTTTTTGTGCAGGGTGGAGCCATTGGCACAAAAACAGAGTTAATGGACCAGATCCTTAGCTGACCTAAATCAGCATAGTTCCATTAAAGTACACCCAGTTATACCTGCTGAGGAACTATACCAATTTACACGATCTAACGAGTTAGTTCAATATTTTCAGATCCAAACATCTTTTAAGTGCTCTTCCCCAGTACCTGCTGGTTCTGTTTTATTTTCCTGACCAAGGTCATCTTCTGTTGGATTCTGATGAGAAAAAGTGAGACTGCGAGTAATTTACGATGAACCCAAAAGGCTTGTCTATACATAAAAATTGCACCAGTGTAACTAAATCAGTTACTAAATCATGTTAGTTGAACTGGTGCAGCTCCCTGGCAAGGATACTCTTCAGCTGGTTTAAGAGCAGCTAGTACCATGTTAGCTTAATTCAGTTTTAAGAATGCCCACCCAAGGAGGTTGCAATGATTTTATAAATTGATTTAGAAACCAATTTAGTTAAACTAGTACTACTAGTGTGTGCGGGCCAGGCTTTAGAGCCCAGCACAAAATTCAAAACATTATTGTGGTGAATATAAGCATGAAAAGAAAAACTGTAAGTAAAACAAACTTTTAGCTTCACTTGCAGATGGTAAATTTGAAAGAAAAAAATACCAATGTTTTGGATGCATTCGGCTTTTGTCATGGAGCCTAACATGCCACTAGTGTCTAAAATTCAGACTTTGTTATAATCATGGCAATATAAATGAAGTTTAGAATGAATACACACTATTATCTGTATGGGGTAGGTGTGAAAATTAATTACAGCTACATAATATTTCAACATGAGATGAAGAGTATGGAACTTCACTTTCTGTATGCGGCCTTCCTTTTTCTTTCCTTACATTTTATGTTTTGGATCAAACAATGTTTGTGAAAGACTGAATATTTATTCTTGATTGGTTAAGGACTTTAAATGTACAACCTAGAGCCCATTTCAATGCCTTGGAAATAAACAGATCATTTATATGCCACATCCATTCCAGTGTTCTTGATCAGCTAATTACATATGAAACCTGTGTATATCTTAAAGATAAATATATTTTAAGCAATTCTGAACACATACAGTACTAACTCCAGATCAAAAGGCAGGAAGGACTCTGTGTCCTGATATGAGAGACAGTCCCCCTAGTGACAGTGACCTGAGTATGAAAACGGGTCAAATGCCTTTTGATGTGGGGAAGATTGGGAAATAGCCAGAATAAAACCCTTTTTTTTTGTCCTTTGGTAGCAGAAATGTAATCATGAAGTCTTCTAAGAGAGAGATGATGTTTTGGTTGAAGTGCTACCTCACCTTCCAGAGGCCTGAAAAATCATTTAATGCTAGGCAATACGGAGTGAGAGTGGAAAAGCTAATTTTGTACCTCTTTTTCCACAATCTATAGGAAGCACCTGGCAGTGGTGATCACAGGCCACTGAAGTGTAAATGTCACTTGAATAGCCTAGACAGATGGGGGTGTTTTTTCAGGTAAAGATTAGGATATTGGCTATATGTTCTGGGGGGAGGGGAAATAAGATTTTTCATACATGGTAGGCAATATCTTATGACTCTCAGCAGCATGGGGATAGGAAGCTCTTCTCCTTGTTCAGGATGGCCACATCTCTTGAAGCCATCTATTTGATCCCTGCAGCCTTATGTGCAAGAGCAGGGAACTCTTAGTGAGCAGGCAGAGAGTCTTAAAGGTGAACAACTATTCACATGAATTATGCTATCTCTCACCTTATCTGTAACAAGATTCCTTCCAGTGCAAAGAAGGTCATGGTGCTATTCCCTTAGTCATGCATTCTTCCCAGCACTAATCCCAGTAGCAACAAACCTTATTGCTGTCATGTGTATCAAATGCTTGTGATACTTGGCAGTCTCCATATCTTTCACAGTTCTGTTTAGAACCCAATTAATTAGTTAGCAAAACACTCTGAAGATTAAAAGAACAACAACATAAAAGTTACGTACTATTGTTATTCATTATTATTGCTTCCTTCCCTTTGTCCTATAAGACAAATTTCAGCACACACCTAGATCTTGATCTACAAACTCAAATTATAGTTGGCCTATCGTATTCAGCAATATGAGTGGGGCACAAGATTTGTGGATTGTCATATTTAATTTCTGTCATCACACTGTCTTGAAATGAGTGAGATTATTACAAAACAGGCAGAATATTTCAATGACATATCAAAGAGCTAAGAATTATTATGTTTATTGTTTGCTTGCTGGACTGAGAATAAAGATGTAGCCAAATCTCTTCAGCAGCTATCCACGGCAGGGGCGCATGAAGTTTCCAAGCGTAGGTACCTGTCAAAACACTATACCGCTCTTTTACTGTCCATAGAGCCTCCAAAAGCAAAGCAGTCATCCTTGTAACAAACTGGGCTGGGGAAACTGGGGATTAGCTAGGGAAAGCAAATATAGATCCTGCGACACAGAAAAGGAGGGAGAGGCGCAGAAATTAGAGAGGAGAAAGAGAAATGAGGGAACTCCAGGAGGAGCACAGAGGAATTCATGGGGAAGAAAGAGAAATGGGAGAAGCAGCCTCCAAGCCACAGGCAAAATGTTGCCAGGTCCTCTTCTTGCTCCGTGAGGGAGTCCCTGATGAAGGCATTCTAGAGAAGAGAAGCTGAACATCACGTTCGGACACCAAACCCACACCTTCTTTGCCCTCAAAATCTAAGCTTGACTCATTAGCACCGGCACAGGCAAATGTAAAT